CTGGGATTAACCCAGTGTTTGAGTTGAGCTGGGGTTAACCCCAGTCCTGGGCTGCATTGGATTTAACCCCACAGCTGGACTGACTAACTCCATGATTGGGTTCTGCTGGGTTTGATTCCATGTTTGGGCTGAGCTGGGAATAGCCCCACTTCTCAGCTGCATTGGGTTTAGCCTTGCATTTGGACTGTGTTGTAGTTAACCCTGCATTTGAGCTGAATTGAGGATAACCCCACTCCTGAGCTGTGCTGAGTTTAACCCCACATTTGGACTTCATAACCCTGTGTTTGGGCTGCTCTTAGTCTAACCCCACATTCTGACTGAGCTGGGTTTAACCCCACTGCTGAGCTGAGCTGCATTTAACCACACATTCGGACTGCACCAGATTTAACCCCAAATTTGGACTGCACTGGATTTCATCCCATTCCTGGGCTGAGCAGGACTTAATCCTGCTCCTCAGCTGCATGGAATTTAATCCCATATTTGGGCTTTCCTGAGTTTAACCCCGCTGTAGGACTCTAGTAGGTTAAACCCTGCATTCAGGCTACTCCTGGCTTACTGAACTGCACTGTCCTCACAGGAAAAGGTTGCAGCTTGTTTTACTGGTTTAACTGGGGTAATTCCAGTGTGCTGGGTTGCAGGGCTGCAGTTGTGCATGTGTTCGTGCTGGTTTAGCCTAGCCTGGTGTGAGGGCCCATGGGTGCTCAGCACCCCACCAAAGTGGTGCCAAAGCAAGCAGTGATTTGAGGTCCCCGAGGCACTGGAGGGGCTGGGCACAGCAAGTGGGACATCACCCCAGCAGTGCCCAAGGTGGGTGCTGCTGGTGGTCCTGGGGCCTATGCATGTCCCCAGTGGCCCTGGAGGTGATGGGGGACATGCTTCTGTCCCTGCCACAACCCTTTGCTGTTCTTTCTCTGTTCACCCAGTGGTTGTGAGAGTGCATTTAGGAGACAGGGATGGCTGGTTGCAGGGGACTGTCCCAGCAGCAGGGTTGGTGCTCCCCCATCAACCTGAAGCCACATGATGATGGAAGTCACCAGTGCAGGGGTGGGATGATGAAAGGTTTCTGGTTAGATCTGTAGCCATGGGGATGGACTAAGGCCAGGCTGTGGCTCCTTAGAGCAGGGCACTGTGCTCATAAAAGCTGCCAGGAGGAGAGGGGGTTAGTGGGGCTCTGTGCTCGTAACCCTGCAGGAAAGGAAGAAAAGGGGAACTCCTGCTGCTTGGAAATGCTGCTGCCCTTGGCCACAGGACGTGTTTCCCACAGCTGGAACTGGCAGAGAGGAGGGTCTTGGGTGCAGGGACAGGGATGCTCCCCCAGCTCAGGGGCAGGAATCATAGGATCACAGGATAATTAGGGTTGCAAAGGACCTTAACATCATCTAGTTCCAGCCCCCTGCCTTGGGCAGAGATACTTCACGCTAGACCATGTCAAATACCATCTCTAGGGCATTAGAGCTGGCCAGCATCAGGCATTGCCTATTGAGAGAAGCTTTTTGCAGGTAGGCAACTGCAGCAGAGCTGCCAAGTGCTCTTGGGTTTTTATTTACCACATCTCTATAGCAGCGATGCTGCCCCAGGCCACACTGCAGAGAGGTTAGGAGGCACCCAGCTTTCTGTGCTCAGTGGGGAGCATCCCTTTCCTCCCCAGTGCCGTCTTCAGCCCTGCAGCATGGCATCATCTCTTGTGTCCCCCTCCCCACCACCCTCAGCTCTGCATGTGGCTCATTCCCTTTGAAGAGAGACTTCAAATGAAGCAAAGGAAAAAAAGGAAAGAAACCCAAAACCCACTGTCTTTTCAAAGCACTGAGCACAATGGAAAGTTAGCCTCCCCCAGGAATCTGCACTGGGCTTTGCCAGGCCACAGCAGAGTGGCCATGCTGGGGGGACTGTCACACCCCATATAGGCATCAGATCTGGTGCACATGGCTGTGATTTTGGGGGGTGTTTTGGCTCGCTGCATTTCAATTTGGATGCAGGAAGGGGGTCATAGCAGGCTTTCTCCACAGAAACTTGTGGATGAGGTCAGGCTGGACAGCAGGGCTGGTGCAGGGTGGAGAGTGGCACCTCGTGTTCCTGGCTCACATCCATGGGTGCTATGCATAGCCTGGTCACCCTTGTGACCTGAGCATCCCATGCCAAGGGAGCAGGGTCTGGCACCACTGCCCTCTCTGCGGGCCAAGCCACAGGCCCAGGCTGGGTCCCTCTGCCCCGGCCATGGCCATGGGAGGTCACCCAGCCCTGGGCAGCCGTCTCTCGGGCTGGGATTAGCATGTGGGGAGGAAGAAAAGCTCTGATTGTTCCCTCTGTCCCGGCTCGGCTCCAGGACCACTGTGCTGGGACTCCCTGTCCCTGGGATGTGTCACCGCTGTGCAAGCATAGAGGGATGCTTTCTCTGCCTGCGTGCCCCATCCATGGGGATGCAGAGACACTAAGGAAGGTGGCCTGGCAACACGTGTGTTTGTTTGCATGCATGCTTTCCCCTTGGCAAGGAGTTTGGCTGCATAAAGCTAAGGGGATCCTATCTGGGCAGGCTGTTTGGAGCACTGCCTGGTCTGTAGTGCTGGCTCAATGCCACACTGAGGCAGGCGAGGGCTCTGGGTCTTCCCCTGCTCTGCGGCTGCTTCCCCTTTTGTTTGTGGCCGTCGGGCAGGCAAAGAAGGGTTTACCCTGATTCTCCTCTCTGCAGTGGTGCTTGGTCATGGCTAGGGTTTGGCAATGGTCAGGCAGGTCATTGAGTAACCCAATGCATGTGTCCAGGGAAGGTTTGGTGCTGCATTCCCCCCATGCTGCACTGTCAGGGCTGGGCAGTGAGCAAAAGAGCCCATCTGAGGCAGGAGAGGTCATAGGGAGCTGGGCTGAGGATGGGGAGCACTCGGGGGGGAGGGCTGGGACAGAGGATGCTGCAGGGTGGGAGGACATGCATGGGGTCACTGGGGAGATCAGGGCTGGGATGCAGCTGGGAATGGGGTCTGCAGAGGTGTTCTCTGCAGCCACACAGGGGTCTGGGGTGCTCTGGGCTGTGCCTTCAGCTCTACATTTATCCATGTAGGGAAAGATGCCTCTCAGCATCGTGGCTGCAGTGTCATTTCCAGACTGGTCAGGTCTCAGTGGCCCTGAGACTTAGCAAACTTGTGTCATCAGAGAGCCAGCACCCAGAGCACATCCCCTTGCCACAGAGCAGCATGAGGGGCAATGGGTGCAGCAGCTCTGCCTTCACCCTCTGCAGTGTTTGCATGAAAACCCAGTCAGAAGAAGAGATGATTCTATTTTAAAGCTATTTCTCCCATCTCCACACTAACACACTCTCCCTGACACTCCCCCCTCTCCCTTCCCTAAACACCATCCCCTTAACTCTGGTCCACGTGGTGTTTGGAGTTATTTTTGGTGCTGCTCTTAAGTGTATTTTAAGTCTTCTTTTTTTTTTTTTCCTTCCATCACCAAAATATTTTACTTTCAGGCCAAACGTTCCCAGTTAGTTACCAGCATAGTTTTGGCAAGCACCTTTTAACTGAAGTTTCCCGGGAGTGTTTCTCTGGGTGGTTTGGTAGGAAAAGCTTATGACAGTCTCATGAAATTATTTGGGCTTGGGGCTTGTGTTTGAGGCTGCCTGGCTTGTTCAGGGCAGGGTTGATGTGGGCCCTGCACGCCTTCCCTCCCTGCATTCCCTGGCTGCAGCACATTGCCTTGTAGCTCTGTTTGCTTCACCACACTGTTTGCTCTGTGGCCATGGGCACTTGCCCACGGGAGAGGAGCTAGCATTGGCTCTGGGGTGCCTTTGCTGGGCTGGAGCATCCCTGCCTGGAACCCCTTGGCTGTGGAACCTGTGTGACTGAGGATTTACCTCCATGAGCTGCAGCCTGCTCTTAGGGCTGACAGTATCCACGTAAATAAACGCTTCTACCCATTTGTGAGGGGTGGGCAGGGGGTTATTCCAGGGAAAAATGATTCATCCGCCTGTGCCTGCTGGGAGCAGGCTGTTAGGGACAGTGTGACGCTGATGATATGCATGGCGTGATGCTGGCCAGGATGGATGCCCTGAGGTGGTGCTGGCTGGCACAGACAGGGTGACGCTGGCTGATACACGCGGGCCTGTGGAGGTTGGAACAGATGCCTTAGGACAGTGTTGGTTGGCACAGACCGGGTGATGCTGCCTCTGGTGAACAGAGTGATGCTGGCTGGCATGTGCAGGGCAGCGCAGTCTGGAGTGGATGCCTTAGAGCAGTTCTGGATCGGCTGGGCTGGCCAGGGTGATGCTGGATGGTATGTGCAGAACAATGTAGGCTGGAATGGACACCTCAGGGAGTGGGGAGACCCCACTCTATGGGTGAGGTTGGCCATGGAGAGTTAGGTGCACTGACAGCATTCCACACAGTTCTCACTCCTGACCTACTGGTGAACTCTGAATGGGAGAAAGGGATTTCACGGCCATTCTCCCTGAGTCCAGAGACCCTAAATGGCCTGGAAGGGCACAGACCTGCACTGATCAGCCCTTTGGTGGGTGCAGGGATGGGCAGGGATGTGGGAGGCCAACCTGCCCCACTCTTGATATGGCCAGAACTGTCACGGACCTGCTCTCCCTGGCTGTATGAGCCTCTTCTGATCTAACTGCTGTCTCCTGCCATGTAAATATAGGCCAGATTTTCTCCTTATTCCTTTCCTGCTCTGCCTGCACTAGCTCACGTCTCTGGCACAGGACAGCAAAGGCAAAGAGCCCTTGGTCACACCAACCCATACAGCCCCAAGCTCCCAGTCCGTGTTTGCCCTGCATTCTCCTGGCATGGGGACACCTTGGCAGCTAGGGACTAGATGTGACAGTGGCACAGACCCTGCCAGCTGTGGTCCCAGTGTCACAGTCCCTGTACTGTGCCCAGCGGGATGGGATGAGGCAAGGGGAGGATGCGGGGTGCCTGGTCCTGCAGGGATGCTCTGTGCTGTGGGCACTGCTGGCCACCCCATTACAGGGGTTAATGCCCTCTCCCTTCCCTCTCTGCCTCCTCCAGATGCGCAATCCCATCCCAGGCCTGGGCAGGGTGATGGTGTTCCTCACAGCATCCCTGGCATCAGCCTCCCTCGCCGTCCCCAAGGGCTGGGGAGAGGAAGGTGAGCCCGCTGCGCAGCACCCCATGTCCCAGCCATGGGGTACCCCATTCCCCTAGTCAGGGCATACACAAAACCCCGTGGCAATGGGTGCCATCTGGCCAGCATCCTGCTGCAGCTGCCCATTGCCCAACTGGGACCAGTGCTTCCCAGTCCCACATGGTGGTACCTGCATGAAGCAAGACCCCAAAGTCAGCACCCAGCTCCCCAGAGGGGTACCCCAGGCTGCTCAGCACCCAGCCCTGGCACGGTTTGGTGCTAACACCCATCTGGGGATCTGTGTGTCCCTTTAGGTGTGCAGTACGGACAAGTGGGGACAGACGTGACCCTGTTGTGTACCGGTGCCCATGCTGGGTAGGTCTTTTCCACGCACACCACGGGATGTGTCCAATGGGATGACTTGCATGGTGAGCCTGGGGTGACCCAGCGTCCCTGTCCCCAACACCCCCTGCACGGTCTCTCCTCCCCAGCGCTGTGGTGCAGTGGAGACGGACAGATGCTGCAGCACTGCCGGAGGGCTCAGTCATCCATCAGGGAGCCCTGGTGCTGCCTCAGGCCAGCCTGGCCACCACGGGAGCCTACAGCTGCCATGGCGAGGACGGTGGCCTCCTGCACGCCGTGTCCCTGCAGCTGGGATGTGAGTAGCGTGCCCATGGGCTGGGGTGTGTGGGGTGTGCAGCCCCACCAGGACAGGTCTGTGAAAGGGTTACCAGGAGGGGACTCTGCAGTGACAGGATGGGGCCACCCTCGCTGACTGTTGCTTCCCCCCCACCCCAGACCTGCCGGGGGTCCCCTTTGTGTCCTGCAGAGCATCCGACTATGAGAATTTCTCCTGCTCCTGGACCTCCAGTGTGGAGACCTTCCTCCCCACCAGATACATCACCACCTACAGGTGATGTATCCCTATAGGGCACGGGCTTGGGGGGTTACAGGGTGCCAAGGGTAACCACCAAATTGTGGTGGCCATCAGGGGTTCATGCTTGGGGGTGAGCAGAGCACCAAGCACTTGCTTGCTCCACGGTGGGCCCCAGCAGTGTTGTGAGGCAGCACAAGCAGGTTCCCTCCCTGCCCACGGCTCTGCCAGCACCAGAAGGGCCGTAAAAGAGAAGCAGGTCATCCTCAAGCTGCCGAGTGCTTCAGCATGCTTCGGGATGAAAGGAACCCTGACAGCGTTGCTGCTTCTAATTATCCCAGCAGGCCAAATTAGTGGGCTGCTTTGAAGTGAGACAGAGCTCATAAAGCACAGCCCTGCTGCAGGCTGCAGGAGCAGGGGCTGGGGTGTGCTGGGGAGGGAGCATCAGGGGTTCAGCAGGGAGGGGTGGTGGGAAGCAAATGGCCTCAGGGCTTAAGGGAGGGCAAAGCCAGCTAACGGTGAGCTGCTTTTATCAGTGTCCCTGTGGCTTTGCTGGGACTGCCAGCTCTGCTCACCAGCAGGGATGGGCATGGTTTTAGCTCTGTGCCCCTTGCCATGTCACCCATGTGGCAATGGGGGCAATGGGGGTGCAGTCACCTTTCATGCCGTTCCCTCATCCTCACTGTCTGCTTTTTCATCTCTCTTTGTGACAGGAAGAAATCGCTGACAGGTGAAGAGAGGCGGAGGTAGGACTGATTCCCACTCTCATCCCATTCCCTGGGGAATTGGTCCCTGTCCCAAAGGCTCTGCCACTGTCCTCAGCAGGGTCCCCAGAGTGAGGGCTACCCATATCCATAGCAAGAAGAGTTTGCCCCAGGGGGGGACCTTTCCAGAAGGGACTTTGGGCTGGGATGGAGACATTCATTCATGCTCAGAGGGACATGCAGAGCTCTGCAGGGTCAAGGGCAGCTCAGCTGTAGCAGGGGCTCCTCCACCAGGCTCTTGGCATTGGGGTGTCCCCACATGTCACCAAGAAACTGCCTATGCGTGGCAGGTGGGGGGACACATCACCAGTCTGCCTCCCTGCTGCAGGAACAAGAACGGGCACATGGGGCCGTGCCTGCAGGATCCATCCCGCCCCGGCACCTGCACCGTCCATGGGTCCGAGTTCTGGAGCTCCTACCGCCTGAACATCACCGAGGTGAACCCCCTGGGCTCCAGCTTCCGCCTCCTGGACGTCACCATGCAGGCCATCAGTGAGTCCATATCCATCTGTCTGTCCCTGCCAGTGTCCATCCACCCCATGCGAAACCAGCTCTGGATGGCAGCATGGCAGCCCTGTGTCATGGGGGCTCCCTTATCCTCTCCTATGCAGTTAAGCCAGACCCTCCGGAGGGCTTGGTGGTGGAGCCCATCCCCTTGGCCCCACGGAGGCTCCTCGTGAGCTGGAAGTACCCCTCCTCCTGGCCCAAGGAACCCCACTTCCAGCTCCGATTCCGGCTGCAGTACCGGCCCGTCATCCACCGCTCCTGGTCGGTGGTAAGCAGGGGGTGAGGAAAAGCAAAGCTGTGGGCACAGGGCAAGGGAGGGCTATGAGGGCTGCCCCAGCCTGCCCCACAGCTCCCCTTTGTTCCATGCAGGTGGAGACAGTGAACCTGTCCGAGGTGATCACAGATGCCTTTGCTGGGCTGGAGCACGTGGTCCAAGTCAGCGCCAAGGATTTCCTGGATGCGGGAAACTGGAGCGAGTGGAGCGCCGAGGCCCGGGCAACGCCAGCCAGAGGTGTGAGGGGGACAGGCTGCAGCCCCAGCAGCCCTATGGGGTTGTGTCATCCCGCCCTAGAGCCCCTTCAGCACCTGCACCTCCCCAGCCCCTTCCCTATGGCACCAATTCCCCCCAGATATCACCCAGGCTCCTGATGTCCTTTAGACCCAAGAAGCTGGTCCCATGAAAAGCTGACCCCATGTGCAAGGCTTTTGTAAGGGGACAAAGCATCTCCCAGCCCCACAGCAGCCATCAGGGGATTGCCCCCCACAGCCTTAGGGCAGAGAAGGGCTCCAAGAGCACACTTCTAGCACCCTTGGGACACAAGGGCATCCTTCTTTGGTCCTTGGCTGTAGGGTGGGTGTCTCTCACCTCTGTCCTTGCAGACCTGGTCACCACAGCGAGTGAAGAAACCACTACAGACACCAGCCTGGAAAGCCTGGCCGAGGAGCCCTCCCAGGCTCCCAACCCTGAGCCCATCAGTGAGTAGAGCTGGGGGTGGCGGGCAGCAGGGCCAGGCTGGGCTCACGTGCGGCTGAATGTCATGGGAACGGTCTCCTGCCCCACGCCTGTGTGTGTTTGGGGTGCTGGGGTGTCCAGGAGCTTCCAAAGGCTCCCTTGGATGCCAGTGGCTGTGGCATCCCCAGGCCATGACAATGTCTCTGCCTCAGACCGCAGCGAGCCCCTGGAGAAGACGGTGGTCCTGGTGTCCCTTGGGATCTTCGCCTTCTTTGTCCTGGCTGCTGTTCTCATCGTCACCATCCTCATCTGGTAGGTTGGGTTGTGAGAGGGAGAGGACTGCGTGATTGCTGTCTCCATTCCACTCCATCCCTTGAACCCTCAGCATGACGTACCCCATGTCCCCCCTGCTGTGCTTTGGGGCCCTTGCCCGAACAGACTTGGTGCCATCCCCATAAGGTAGTTTATGCTCCCCTTGCCCCAGTGCCATATCAATACACCTTCCCAGCACACCCCACCATCTGCAGTACTGCCCAGTCTGCTGGGGTCTTTCTCCTGAGCCCACATCTGTGGGACCTTTCTCTGTATACCCAAAGATGCTGCTATTAACATCACCCCAAAGGGTCTGAGGGCTCTCATGCTCCAGAGTCTGCACCAAGACCTCTCCATTTACCTTTCCTATCTGGGATTCCTGTCCTTGGGTCCCCTCATCCCACACAGCTGGGCTCTCCCTCCCATGGTGTGGCTATGCTGTTAGTCCCTATCCCCATCCCAGCTCTGCTCTATTAGCTCCTGTATCCCTGGAGCTGACCCATTGGATTGGCTGGGCACAGCTGGATGGGGATGCAGAGTGGAACTCCTGGGGATGCGGGCAGTCCTGGTGCCAAGGGGGGGTTGCTTGGGGTCCTCAGCCACCACTGCTCTGTCCCCAGGCTCCGGGTTAGGAAGCACAGCGAGGACAAGACCAAACCCCACAGCTTCTTGGTTGCTGCCACCCACTTGAAGGCACTACCGAGTGAGTCGGGGTGCAGGGGGTGTGATGGGGGGAATGCAGGGGAGGGAGTGTGGGAAGTGCCCTCCTCAACCCCTGCCTTCTCTCTCGGCAGAGGCCCAGATTTTGTAGTGATCCCTGGCCGACCCCTGCTCCCTGCGCCCGCTGTCCCATGCGTGGAACTTGATGCCACTGCTGGTCCCCAAGGACCCCACGCTTCCCGGGTCGCCCCACGGCCATGGACATTGCCAGAACAGCCCCCAGCACCCTGGGGATGCAGTATGGATCCTAAGGAGAGAGGTTGTGCTTCCAGAAGCTTTGGGCTGCCCATGCCCGCCCGGAGCTGTCTGGAGGCACCTTGGACTCAAGGCAACGGGGCCAGCCCTGCTGCTGAACACATGGGGATAAGAGGCTGAGCCAGCCGTACCTCACTGCCTAGTGTCGAGGGGGACTGTGCGTGCAGGCTCCTTGGGGTGCCGGGCATCAGTGAGCAGGGGGTGCTGAGCCCTGCCCGTCACCCCTCACCAGCCTGCAGAAGGGACCCCCCCAGTCTGCCTGCCCCTCTCCCGCATGCTGTGCCTGGAGAGCACAGTGGTTCCAATAAAGGGGATAGTGTTGGCACTGTCCTGGCAAAACCAGCCTCGCGGATGGAGCTGCATCAGGGGAGAAGTGAGTGGCATGAGGAGAGATGCCACCCTGGGGATGGTCCCCATACAGGTCAGTCTTAGCCCCTCCAAGCACCACTTGCTGAGTGCTGTAAGAGGATGCAGCAGATGCCTGGGACATCTCCCTTGTCGTCGCCAGCCCAGCAGCAGGGACAGGACCCTCTACACAGCCCCTCTAACTCAGCATGTGGCCCCCTCCCCGCGCTTTGACCCAGTCCCTCTGATTGCTTCCATGTGTTGGCATCTCCTGATCCCCGTGCTCAGCGCCAGCAGCCCAACAAGATCCAGATGGGGAGGGTGGAAATGGAGGCAGCGGCAGTGTGGGGAGCACGAGGAGTGGAGCCAGCGTGGGGTGGGCCCCTGCTCCTGCCTGCTGGGGAGATGCTTCACTTCCAGTGGGGCCCCTTGGGCTGCCCTTAAGCTCTCTAGAGTGGGGGACAACTCCTGGAAGGGTCATCATGGGGACTGGGATGGAGGGGACAGGGGCAGTGCCTTTTGCCAACGGCTTGTGTGCCCATGGACACTTCTGCCCTTGCTGGGTGCCCCTGTACTCCCACCCCAGCTGCAGGGGCATGGGGGCTGCCTGTGCCGTTGCTTGGCTTTGTGGGATCCTGGCCCCTCATTGCCCTTTGTGACCATGCTCATCCTGGATGGAGCAGTTGGGGGTCAGCCCTCCAATCTACAGCGTGCTACTGTGGTGGCACCATCCTTGGGCAGGAGCAGGGCTCTCCATGGAGCAAGTAAGGCAGGTCACAGGTGGGAGGTGTAAGGGGACAGATTCTGACTGGGCTTCTGAGCCCAACAGCCACATCCTCTTTCCTAGGGACAACCCAGAACTCACCAGCCCCGGATGCTCTGGGCCCCAGCATCCAGCCAAGCCAGAACCCTTTCTGAAGTGCCATGGTCAGCATTATCTCACCTCAGTCCCCAGCATAACATGGGCAGCCCTTTCCACTTGGAAACCTGCCCTTATCACGAGCAGATAGCACTCCCCTGATGCTATGCAGGAGCTCAGGGCTGTGATTATCCATAGGATACTGTTGTACATGAGCGATGTCCATCCCATAGCTGTGGCTGCAGCATTGCACACTGAGATCTGGTTTACGAGCACCTGGTGCTGGTTTAGAGATTGATGGCTGCTTGAGGCACACAGCAGTGGCTCTGGCCCCTGTATCCTGCCTGCTTATAAACTCCAGAAAGTCGAGGCGTGCGCTGAACAGGACGAGGTTGTTGTTGGCTGGGGGAAGCAGAGACCACCAGAGCCTTGCATGCCCATGAAGCAACGTGCGCCTGCATTGTGCAAGCTCAGGTGGGTAAATGAGAAATGACAGGCAGAGGTGACCCATAGCAGTGCTGTCCCCACGTGCCAAGCCCTGTGTGCTCTTCCATAGCTGGTTGGGGTTTTACTAGTCAGATAGTGGGGATGCCCAGTTCCAGTAACCAGGGCAGCTTGAGGGCAGAAGATGCTTATCCGGTCCTCATCACTGCATCCCACTTCCCTTGGCCCTGAAGGGTGACCCCTTTCCTCTCTGATGGAAGCTTTATAGGTGAGACATGCTGCTATGTGGCAGCAGGAGACACCATGAGCAGATGAGAGGTCTGCATGCCACCACGAAGCCTGGTGGGATGCCCCGTGGCTCACCTCACTGTCCCAGCAGGCTGTAAATGTGACACATGGGCATCAGGGACCCCAAGGAAGCAGCAAGTTCAGTGCTTGGCGGGGCTAAAGATGCTTAGTGTTGGGTGCTGCCTTCCCAGCTGCCCGTGGAGAGGATGGACATGGGCGAGCAGGGCTTTCCACTCAGTGCAAGGGGAGGGCAGGCGTGAACAGCAATCTGGGATAAAGGACAGGGCTCCAGATGCCAAAGTCAACTTTTCCTTCAAACCGTGGAGAAGAAAAACAGGAAGGGACCATGAGAGCAGTCCCAGTGCCGGCACCTCCCTGTCCCACCGCGGGGCCAGGGCACTTCCTCCGGGGCTCGGGCTCTTTGGTGGCTCACACAGCGAGCAGGAGGCTTCCTGCTGCAGGCTGCAGCCCTGCCCCGAGTAGGCAGAGGCACTTCCAAGCTTGATGCTGTATCCCACCCTCCTCAGGCGGACACTGTGCCAAGATCGTCAGGGGAGCTGGGGCAAGCCAGGCCTGGGGATGCTGAGGCTGTGCCAGGTCAAAGCAGCCTGTGGGCTGCATCCACGAGGAGGAAGGATGGGTCCAGCTTCCTGGCATGGGGCAGGGACCAGTCCAAGCTCAGCAGGAGAAGAATGAAGGAGAACATGGCCTGAGTCTCACTGAGGGTACAAGGTTCACAGCAGGCAATGCTACACACCAGGGAAGGTCCCCAGACTGAGGTGTGAAAGGTCCATGTCCATCTATACAGCACAGAGTGGCCCCATCCAGAGCATCTCTCAGGCAGGGGCTGAGGTGCACCCAGCCACCCAGCTGAGTGCAGGGCTTGTTTGGGAAAGCAATAGCCAGCAGGACACTGGATGTGGATGCATGTGCAGCGGTTCCTGGGCTGTTTGACTGCACTAACCCTGCCAAATCCAAGCTATCCCTCATGCCTAGCTCATCCGGTCCCTGCCTCGCTGCCAGGATCAACCTGCATCTTGCAGCAGAGGAGGCGGGTTGCACACGACTGTGAAGCAAAACAGTCTCAATTTACCTCTCATGGCTGCTCCAGCTTCCTTCTCCAACACATCCTGAGCCAAGGAAAGAAGTAAAAGCAGCTCCAGCAGATCTTGGAAACCACAGGGACACAAAACGTAGATATCATGAGGCGAGGGAAAAAGGAAAGGGTATGTATACAGCCAGTGGTTCAGCAGGGAGAGGAGGATGCATGGATTGAGGGAAGGAGCTGTGCATATGTATAGACGGATGCATGGATTGCTTGGAGAAGGAAGGGATGGATATACGGACGGGTATGTGGATGTATGGATGAATACAGGTAGTTTGGACACCCAAATACCATCCAAAGCATCAAAGATGCTCATTATGCAGGGGTGACTTGTGAAGAAAGCTGGGAGGCCAAGTGTGTAAGTGAGGCCCAGGGGCAGAGCAAGGAGAGTGTTTGGGAACAAGTCACTGTTGTGACCCATGCACCCAGTCCCCATGTAAGAGCCGTCACAACCAACATGAGGAGACAGAGCCCAGAGTGTTACCAGTGCAGGTCCTGAGAGTGTCAGGGGAAAGCCTCCCATCTCCAGAGGGACAGCATCCCACTCGGGAGCTGCTTCTATCTCAATCTGTCTGGGCACCGGGAGTGGAGGAGCAGCAGGGATTTACCCTGGGGATACAGTGAATACAAACACAAATGCTTTAAAACCCCAGTGCTGAGCATTCACCCCATCCATAGCTTTCGTGTCGCCCGCACATGGGATAACTCTGCATGGGGTCTTGCTAGAAGGCCCAAACACACAGTCTGGTGGAGACCCCTGAGAGCTCTCATGCTCCCTCTTCATCTGCCTGCCTTTCTAGTTGTCACAGACCTGCAAACATGCCCATCATCCACTCTTTCCTGAAAAAGAGAAGGGGAGACATCACTTGCTAGGCCACATGTGCTGGCGCCCGAACAGATGTGGAGAGGGGAGGGACTGGGACATCTCTTACTGCTGCCTTCTCCCTGCAGAAATGGGTTGCTTCTTCGCTTGCTGGGGCTGGCCTCTTCCTTGCCTCCAGGATGCTTTTGGTCTTTCACAGCCAGGAAGCACCAAGCACGTGGCCACACAGATGCTGTGAGGCTAAAGCCAGCAGCTTAGCTGTTCCTAAGCACTGCTGCTCGTGATGCTCTCAGGAAATGGCTGCTCTCTTCTCAAAGCAGCAGCAGCTCTTTGGAAGAGCTCACTGAGTTTGAGACTTGCCTATCAGCTTTTATTGCACTGAAAACAGTCCTGTTGTCCAAGCACAAGTACCCAGTGTTTTGTGTGCCTGCCATGAAGTGTGGTGGCACTGGGGGACACATGCAGTCACACTGCTTTCACCCATTGCCCACCCTGCATTCCCCATGCACACATACCACAATCATAGAATCACAGAATGGTTTGGGTTGGAAGGGACCTTAAAGCTCATCACAGTTCCACCCGCCTGCCACGGGCAGGGACACCTTCCACTAGAGCAGGTTGCTCCAAGCCCCTGTGTCCAACCTGGCCTTCAACACTGCCAGGGATGGGGCAGACACAGCTTCTCTGAGCACCCTGTGACAGCGCCTCAGCACCCTCGTAGTAAAGAACTTCCTTCTCATCTGCCATGCAGTGTAAGGACTGTTATCTCCTCAGTGCTGCCATGTCACTTCCTCAGAGGAGGTGATCTCCATTCCCCAGGGCAGAAACTCAATCCTCTCCTCCAGCTGCCTATAGCTGTGCAGACTGAAACAGAGCAGGACACACTCTGGGAGCTTCCCTGGGGAGGGACAGGCTGCAGTTAAATGTGACTCTGCAAGTCTCCTGTGGCTTTGCAGTTGTACAACACACAGGGCCCTACCAGCATCCAAGGAACCCCCAGCCTTTGCACCACACCGGGAGATCCACCAGATGTGGCAGTGGCTGAGCTCTACATAGTGCTGGGCATTGGCATAGTCACCTCTGTGCTGATGGGTATGGAAGTGGTAAGGTGCTGAAAGTGCCAGATCCATGTGTACACACGGGATCTCCTGAACCAGGATGATCTGCTGTCCTGGAAGGCAGTGATCCCCAGGGGAATACTGATCTGGAAGGCACCAATATTTGGGAATATGCTGAACTAGAAAGCACTGATGGCAGGGAGGATGCTGACCTGGAAGGACACTGATTGCCACAGGAATCCAAGGGATGCCAACCTGGAAAGCACTGATTCCTGAAAGGATGCTGATCTGGAAGGCACTAATTCCCAGGGTGATGCCAACCTGGAGGGGCACCATTTATAAAGGACACGGTGCTTTCTCCCCTATTCCAGAGCATGATTTTTGTCTTATGCTGGGCATCAGCTTAGCCAGGAGCCACTC